CTTCATTTATGTATGATGTGTCAAAATGCATTTTACCGTCATGTCTAGCTAATTAGAACAAAAATAAATAAATAAATAAAAAGAAAGTTACTAAGTGCTCAAATGTATTTGTTGTTTTTATTCAATCATTTATCCACATATTCATCCAAGCCATAAATATTTATTGACTATCTTCTTTGCACTCAGTCCTGAGAATTTGGTAGGAAACAAAATAAACTTCCTCATATCCAAGAACTTACAATCTAGTCCTTAAACTATTCTTCAAGGTTACACCAATGTGTTTAGCAGTTGGCTAAGGAAACTTCATGACTTACGGGGGTCACTGTAAATAGCCACAGCACACCTGAGGTGGGAGGGAAAGTTCAGTGAAAAAGGTACTGAGAGAAGGTGGGTGGATAAATAGAAGGTGAGAAAGAAAAGGAAAGGAAAGGGAAGGGAGAAAGAAGATGGTGATAAGGCAATAAATCAGAGCTGGAAGGAAGACAAACACTGCAGGATATCCTGATTAACATAAGAAAATCAATCAGGACAAATCTGGACTCCAGTTCCCATGTGGCTCTGCTTAGACCCAAGAGCATCAATAGGTGACTTACCCAGGGAAATCTTGCTGCCCTCATCCTTAAAATAAAGCTATTATCTAACTCTTGGGCTACAGTGAAAAAGAATAATAAAAAAAGATGTATAAAAACACTTTGTAATCTATAAATTTCTTCAAAATGGAAGGGATTATTATTATTATTATCATATATTAACATATTGTATTATGTATTATATGACATGTTATATATTAACATATAATTTATAATAATAATTAATTACACATTATAATTAGATATTATTTTATGTTATATATTTAATATGTTAAAGGACATAGGTTACATATAATCTATAAATGATATACAAACATCCTAACACTTCCTTATTCATTCTAAGTAAAGAGAAAAGCACAGATCAGTAGATAAACAGATATCAGTAGATATCAGAGGTAAAAAATCAGGGATAAGAGACTAGAAGACTTCTTTGCTATTACTTTTGAGTCTTCAGACTATGTGGGAAAGCAATGATAATTTTGTAAATATTTTGATTTTTTTCTAATTATTTGTGTACAGAAAACCTCATTTCATAATATTGATAAATTTATTTAAAAATTTTGTGAAACCTGAATGCATATTTTACATAATTATATTAAAATAAATTGGCAGTCCCAGAAATAAGTGGACCATATTGCACAGCAGAGTCTTAAATTAGAAGCCAGGTTTTCAGTCCTGGTTCTGCAACCTACTAAGCTGTTGTACTTTAAACCAGTTACTTAATTTCTTTTCATCTCATTTGCCAAACTACAGAACTGCTCTAGCTTCTCAGCATTATTGGTAGTGCCATAAACATGGTCAGCCTTGAATAAGTGGCAACTGTGGATAGTTTTGTTTGTTTTTAATTTTTTAGTTGTAGGTGGACACATTACCTTTATTTACTTATTTTTATGTGTTGCTGAGGATTGAACCCAATGCCTCACATGTGCTAGGCAAGTGCTGTACCTCTAAGCCATGACTCTAGCCCTTGTGGATAGTTTTGATAATAACAATAACATTTGCCTGGGGACTTAGCTGCTATGTTTCCTTTGGTTTAGTCTAGAAGACAGTGATGGAAACTTCATCTATCACCAAGGTTTTTATCTAGTCTGGCCTATAAAACCTGTTTAAAACTGATTTTATATGACCTATGAAAAATGTAATTTTTCTAAAACATAATGTGTTCAAGGTCCTATTTCAAACAAACTTTATACTAATCTTTCATATTGCTAGGTTGTAGCAGCAAAGTCCAAATGAGATTACTTATTAAAAGCTCCAGAGTGACTTTACAATCATAATAGCAATTATTTTAATTCACTAAGTATCTAGTTAGTACATATCAGGCACTCAGTCACTTTGCAAAAGCTGCTATTAAATAGATAGTATTATTTATACTTTGCAACTTGGTAAAATGACACTCACAGATAAATCATCAGCTATGAAGTGGAAAAGCACATATGAAATTCAGACCTGTTTGGCTTAACACTGTCTAACCTACTTGATTTGTCTTTCCACTTCAATATACTTTCCCTAGGGATATAATGATTTACTAGTATATCTCCATCAGAAATACTCAAAAAAAAGAATCTAAAAACTCTAAAATGTAAAGTCTTTAAAACTATGTACATATTTTATTAACTGATGCAACTCAAAATGTCAAGAATATGGTATTCAAGGTATAAGCTTTAAATACAGAGGAGTATGATCTAAGCTACATGCTAGCCAAAACAAAAACAAATAAACAAACAAAATTTTAATCAAAAAAGAAGTGGTCTTATCTTTGAAAAACACATGTAATTTTATGTCTTGGAGATATGCTAGAAAGAATCGTTCATAGGATGTAAGCTAGAGGTCCCAGCTATCTCTTTATCCAGCAAACCATCTAAGTAGTTTTGACTTTAAACTCTAGTGCCCCAAATTATCTTTTTCTATATTGAAAACAAACAACAACAACAACAAATAACTAGCTGTTGGTGTTAAAAACAAAAACAAGGGAATAATACAATTATTGACTGGCACGTGAAGCAAAAACTAACATAAATAAAATTACAAAATTAGAGTTAATTAAGCAAGAATTCAGTCAACAGCAGAGTCTGAATGCTCTTATTTTGGGAGGTAATCAGCCTAATACACTTCAAGATAAGCCGTGTTTCAGACAACCTGTTTGGGGGTGCTTCTCACACTGGCCTCAACATCATGGACACATGAATCTTTTCAGGGATATTGTGACCTTTCAATTTGCTCTTATGAAGGAAACTATGCCTTTATCATTTGGGGCATAACTTGGGGTTTACATTGGCTGTGGGAATTCCACAATATAATCAGGTTGAGCAATGTGAGAGATGTGACAAAATGTCAGTGTATCCATCAATGAACTTGGGTCATTTTTCCTGCAGCACTCAGATGTTCACTCATCCTGCTACATTCATATTTGCATTCTGTAATAGACGTTGCTTTACCACTTTGTCAACATTCTGAATGATCATTTGTTCTACTTATTGCTACAGGTCAATAAAACTTAAACATGCTGGTTAACCTCTTTCCAAGCTAAGAGGTTTATCTTGGAAGATAGGAGTAAAGAACAAAATGAACAAACAATACCCAAAGGACACTCTTTGGCTTCTCAGCTCCTGCAGCCTTAAAAACGAAACAACATTGAAAGTAAATATTTTACCACTGTATCAGGCCTTGTGCTGAGCTGGAAGGACAATGATAACTAGGAAGAATTTTTGAAGGGTTGACCTTCTTCATATTGCCTAGCTCAGTTTTCTGTCATATACAAAAATTATATAATACAGTTATATACTTTAGAGATATATAGGTTATTATAAGTTAGATTATTTTTCCACATTGCTCTGTGAATTTAAAAATTATCTATAAGGTTTCAGTATATATCTATTAATCTGAAACACTTAACTATTTTCACCAAGGTGCTTACCACCAATCCTCCCACTCTTCCTACTCCCTCACTTTCCTAGCCCATGCAAGAATAATCTCCATAAATAATTTAAATTGTATCAAATAAGTATCATTTTTCATACTTCAATTCCATTTTGTTAAGCTATACATCTTCCTAGATTCTTGGTTAATTAATAACTACACCAAAGATTTTTCTTCACAGCTCAGTGTAAGTATCTGAGGCAAACCCATCTTAACACCAACATAGGGAGAAAAGGAAGGGTAGAACTTCCTCAGAGAAAAATAATAATGATGCACACATGAGAAGCAGTGTTACAGAGGAAGAGACTTCGAGTCTGCCAAAAGTCTGCCCACTGGCTGGCAGGTTAGGAGCCCAACCTTGTTCTGGCAAATCCTATCTTGCAGACATATAAAATAAGAGCAGACATGAAGATAAGAATTCATAAAATCCAGAGTAAACTAATCTGTTTTGCAAATGCAATCATCCTTGATAAATTTACTATTAGAAGCAAGTAGGTATTCCACAATGAAGTCAACATAACTTTCTTCTTCATCAAACTTTTTTCCTAGATCTGATAAGACTTACAATGAAACAAGTTCGTTGTCTCTCTATTTTTACACAGACAGAAGGTACCAAGAGCAGTAAAATTGTCCCCTCCCAAAATGTGGGTGCCTGCATCAATTTCTTGTAATATCCTGAGACTTTCTGCTTTGGGAGTCAGCCTTCCAGCCCAGCCCAGTGCCCTTGCCTTCTACCCTCAAAGGGGGCCCACAGCCTGCTGAGTTGTACTGTACTTTTCAGCTCTCTCCCAGGCCCCTCCTGGCCTCTGTGACCCTAAGCAAACTCCACCCTAAGCAATATCCTAAGCAGAGATTTCATAAAAGCTTTCTGAAACTGTCTTGATATTTACTAATCTAAGAAAGAGTGGATGATTAAAGGGGCAGGGGTGGTTTTAAACCTCCTGCCATAGAATTGTAAAACTATTTTATACCCTTGGCATGCACACATTTTCACACATCTAAAACTATTAGTTATGAACTGTTCTAAAGGAAAAGGAAGGCAGAAAAACAGGTCCCAAAAAACAAAGACCGAATGTTCTCTCTGATGTGTGGATGCTAGCACACAATTAGGGAGGGGGAGGGAAGAATAGAAGTTCACTGGATTAGACAAAGGGGAATAAATAGAAGGAAGGGGAATGGGAATTGGAAAGACAGTAGAATGAATCTGACATAACTTTCCTTTGATCATATATGAATACACAACCAGTGAAACTACATCATATACAACCACAAGAATGGAATCCTAATTAGAATAAGTTATACTTATTCCATGTATGTATACATATATGTTATTATATACTATGTATATATGGATACTCCAAGTATGTATAATGTGTCAAAATACACTCTATTGTCATGTATATCTAAAAAGAACAAATTAAAAACTTTTTAAGAAAAAGGAAAATAGATCTGTTTACATTCTCCCTAAGCAGATCACACCCCATACTCTACCTGCGCCCACCACTAGGGCCTTGGGCTCGCAGGTGCGGATGCAATGCAGAAGGGAGTTGGAGCGAACGTTGCAGTTGAGGAAGGCCACCACGCAGCCCAGCTTAGCCAGGCCAAACCACACGTGAACGAAGTCGGGCTCATTGCTCATCAGCAAAGCCACAGTGTCCCCCTTTTCCAGTGAGGAGTGGTTCAGGAAGACACGGGCCACTTTGTTACTCCTTTTATCCACATCCTGATACGTGTAGATGTCTCCTTCATAAATGATGAATGGTTTCTGGGGTTGCCTCTTGGCATGGCTCAGGAATTTATCCAGCACAGTGATCTGCTCGCCTCTCCATTTGCACTTTGTGATCTGAACTCCAAAGCGCACCACCTTCAGCAGGAACCAGAAATCATCCCAGAAATAAGGGAACAGATGTCTCTGCACGCAGTGCAGAAAGATCATGCCAGCCCCTATTCCTGTTAGCCATGACAAGAGCATGGGGGCACAGGTCAGAGGCAGTTCTTGTCCCAACTCTACCAGAGTCCTCTTTCAGGATCCTTGGCTCCCTCAGCGAAGATCTCCAGTCCTCACTGCTCAAGGAGGGAAACTGTGTCACCCTTTCTGGAGGGATCCTGTGAAATAGAACCAGAGATTTGCACCCAGAAGGTTGCCTCAACGAATTCTGGGGTAAAGCTTGGGAAAACCGAGTGGGTGTAGAGCAGAAAGTCTCTGAATATTACAAGAAATCAACGCAGGCACCCGGAGGAGCTGGGAGTCTGCCTTCCAGCCCAGCCAGCGCCCTCGCCTCCCACCCTCAATGGTAGCCCGCGCTCTGCTGACTTGAACTGTACTTCCCAGCCCTCTCCCACGCTCCCCGATCTCTATGACCCTAAGCAAACTCCACTACCCTCAGGAGAAGTAACTCCAGAAGCCGATGCTCTTTCCTCTCGCAGTAGTATCTCTGGAGGCTGAGATCCAGAGGCTGAATTCGAACCGGGAGAAGCAGAGGTGGAGAAGACTGGAATGCAGTGGCTTCCCTTCTCCACCAGCCAGCAACCAGGCTGGTTATCGAGGCCCCGCCTCTGCTCGCGCCCCCAAGCTTGCCCGGGGCCCCAGGGCTGTGCAGCGCCGCCTTGCCCCGCCCAGTGCCCAGTAGCTCCGCTGGGAGGCACCGGGTCCACCCAACAGTTCCCAGGTGACCACAGAGTCTACTGGAAGAAGTTGTCCTCCACTCCAGCCGCAGCTCGGCATCTGAGAGTCCTTGGGGCTGTGTATCTCTCCTCCCAACAGCAGCGGGATAGTCACCCGCCTGCCTCCTGCCTCCAGGCTCCAGGCCAACTCCTCCTGACTCCTCTGCCCCGCAGCTGCAACAGCCTGGGCGTTCTGTCCCACTCCTTCTGGATGCGCTTACAGTCACTGGGATACCCCTGAGGAGCTGGCCAGCTCCCACTCCACAGACCTTGCCCGGGATCAGACTTCTGGCGGGAAACAGGACAGTTCCACGCAGGGACAGCCAGGGATCAGAAAGGCGTGGTATGAAGTCACAGGGGAACAGGGCTGCTGGAATTTGGGTCCCAGAGGCACGGGGAAGAAGAGTAGTGCACTAGAGTCTAGAGTTCATTCATAAAATCAGCAATTAATGGGAACAAAACTAGAGGCTGCAAATAAATAAAAACAAAAAAGAAAAAAGAACTGAGGAGGAGAGAAGTGTATATATATATATATATATATATATATATATATATATATATACATACTTCTCTGCAACACACATTTTTGAAAACAGGTTGTTGTTTGTACTTATATTGAAACTAATGCCGTTAGAGTGCCTCCACAGTGCTTTTTACAAAAATTTTCAAATTTTTGATTGATTTAAAAACTTAAATTGATAATTACATCCATGTTAAAAAATAAAAACAAAGTATAAAATTCTGCCTATTATCTGTCTTTAAAAATCAATTTAAGATCATCAAAATTTTGAACTGAGAATTCTGAAGAGAACTCCGAGTAAAAAGGAAGCAGGCAAATGAAAAGAATGATAAAATGTTGCACAAAGTTGATTCTTACTAAAGATAAAACACTAAGGAATACTTAATCACACTTTTTTCCCCCTAGCAGAAGTTATCATTCCAGCTCTTAACTTTAAAGTGTATATGAGTGGTTAATTGTATGTATAAATAAGCATGGCCTCATGCTGTCTGGCTTTTCTCCCCTCCATCCTGTGATCAGAAGCTGGTTTCTGGCTATCTTCAGATTCCCCAACAAAAGAAAAACCTGACAATTCCAAAGACAGACTATGGTTTATTAGCCTGATTACTTTGAAGTTAAACGAAGAACCCTAAATGAACATTGACTCTTAAAATTTGTTTATGTAGATGAAGAAAAAGCTTTCTCATTTTCCTCAGAAGTTCTAGGKTTTTTTTTAATTCAAAATATCTTTAGTTAAAACCAAAAATACTAGTATCAAGTATTTTACAACTTGAAAAGTGTCTTTGAAGTTAAATTGTTTTATCACCCATCTCTGGTATAATTAAGTTGCTTCCTAGGGAAAAAAAATTAAGTCAGAATAGAATATGGAGCAGTTAGTCTCAGATGTTTGGATTTCCAATATGAGGAAAATTTGTCCTCATACAGTGAAAAAAAAATGGGGAAAAATTGGCTTGCCATCTTTTTATTTTGCTAAATTAAAAACATTAAGGATACAATGTGACAATTACTACCTACTGCTACCATTATTTTATAAAGGGAAAAATTTATTTCAACATTAAAAGAAGAAAGGAAGTATAGTACCATTGTAATAAAGGACAGTCTTTTAAAATGAAGAAAACTAATTTCATGAAAAACATTGTGTGACACCAATTTTATTTTCTTATCATCAACCTTGTAACAGAATCCCAAGGAATGGAATTAAATTTTTTAGCAACTACTGATATAAATGAATGCAGGTTATATTTGGCACCATAAGTCCAAGAGTTTCATTTATTAAGAAGAACTATGAACATATGTTGCAAAACTGCATATTAGCCCAAACCAATTTCATGCCTCTCTATGGAAGAGTCAATCAATGAAAATCCCAAGACAATACCTCATGCATTCCTATTTCAGCCCATGAGTGGTTTTTTTTTTTAAAAGATCATGAAGTAAAATGGATATAATTTTTAGTTAACATAAGGAAAGGCAGCCATAGCTGCAAGTGAATAAATACATCATTTAACTAAAATAAAGAGAAATAAACACATTCAAATAGTCTATACATTTGTGTTAATATTACTTTTGATCAGAACAGTGCACTATTTCTCAAGTTTCTTTTTAGGTAGTTACAGACATTTTATATTTTTCTTTAGTATAATTTGAAAATAAAAATGTTGTGACTAAGTTGATGCAAAAAGGAAGTTTATTTCAATCTATATATGCTCTCCTCAACCCCTTTCTCATTTTTTTACTTCCCTTTCTGCTCTAACCCACTTTGCACACTCATTTCTGTTGAGGATGAGTTGTTTGGGGAGTAGATCAAAGTAGTATAGAACATATAGCATCATACAACAGACATGAACTCACGTTCACAGGATTTTGCCCCTGTGTTCTAAGAATTCTGATTTTGTGCTGTCAAATCACTTGCCTCCAGTAGTCTCCTGATACAATTCTGCAGCAATTACCATTTGGATTTTGGGAAGCTTATGTAGGAAGTAAGAGATTGAGAATGATCTCAAATAATGCTATGTTGCAAAACATCACAATGTGTGCTTGCAATGGGCCAAGAGTTTCTGATTCCCTTGACAATAGCTATAGCTTGGAAAAGGGGATGCAGGAGGAGTGGAATATGTGAAGGAGTTAGATGACTTTAAAAATGGGATCTTTTGAATTTCCTCTTGAATGAAAGGGCCCACAGGAACTATGGAAGAGTTACTCCCTAAACCTTTGTAGAGAAGTTAACAGTATAGTCTGTGGAGGCCATGAGAATGTTCTGCTCAACTCTTCTAACCTGGTATCCTAATTGACTACTGACTTCCTATTTCCACAACTATGTTTGGACCATGGCCACACTTTCTAGAAGTTCTATGACAGAATGGCAAGAGTACTAAGACTCATTCCAGAGAAAAAGAAGCAGGGGGGCTGGGGATGTGGCTCAAGCGGTAGCGCGCTTGCCTGGCATGCGTGTGGCCCAGGTTCGATCCTCAGCACCACATACCAACAAATATGTTTTGTCCGCCGAGAACTGAAAAATAAATGTTAAAAAAAAACTCTCTCTCTCTCTCTCTCTCTCTCTCTCTCTCTCTCTCTCTCTCTCTCTCCCTCTCTCTAAAAAAAAAAAAATAAGCAGGATTCCTCCTACATACAACCTTTGTAGGGGATTACAGGCCATGTATGTTCGGTAATGGGTCTCAACCAAAGGAAAAGTGAAATTTATCCTATTCCTTGGCAGGGAGTAGTTTTACAATCTGGAGCAAAGCATTCACCAGGAAAGATAGGTTCTTTCTCACCACAGACACCAGGAGATAGGGTACTATCTTTCTTTATCTTCATCTTTCCATTTCAAAGGGGAAAAATATGGATGAAAATGTTGAATATAATTCTACTCAGGAATAGGGTCTTACTCAGTTTTCAATCACTGCATTTAAGATATGATACCTACTTGAGTTTTGATGAGAAACTCATTCTTCCTATAATCTAATGTTTATTTGGATTAATGAATAATCATTGCCCAGAATTATACCACAAGAGGACTCATGAAGCAAACTGAACATTAAAGATGAGGAATGCTATAGTACTATAATCACACTTAATGTAGTAACATGTCTTGGGTACATTAAACACTTCTTAAAATATAAAAAAATTTTATAGCACAATAAGTGATCCTATAATAATAGTCTTCTGAGCAACTCCCAAACAAATTAAATACTTAACTCTCATGTTTACTACTAAATACAAACGATACCTAGAAATTTATGTCAGTCAGGGTCCTACCAAGAAGATATTTTACCAATGTATTTTATTAATGGTATTTGAGAATACCTTTGTTATATTCAGATACTTCTGGTTATGACAATTTCCCCTTTTTCATGTCCGTAAAATTGACTAGTTGGAAAACATTCATGTAAAGTTTTTATAGTTGTCTGGGTCCTTAGAGTAGCTTCATTTCTAGTTTATAAGCCACCTACATGGAGGCAGAACACTTAGTCATTGGTGAGACAGTCTTCAGCAACTTTTGTTAGGAATCAATAATGCTCTGGAAGTTGCAGTGGCTTGTTCCATAAGCCCCTGCTCTTACTTGCCTCATAAAGTCTAAGATTTATTCTCAAAGACATAGAGAGGGGGTGTGGGATTTTTGAGGCTTACAGCATATACTCCATCTCAATATGTTTTTCAGGTTCACAACACTTATTTTTAGATGTTTTTCCAATGACTTAATTATAATAATTATTTTCCTCTGGGTAGGCTGATGTTTCAGGGCTGGCATGACTACCAACTTCAACTTGTGGTTTCCACTTACAGATTCAAGGCAGCTGCTCCAACCCTTGTCATCTCCTGGTCATAGGGAAGGGGAAGGTAGGTGATCAGGCAACTAACACCAATTGGTGTTTCTTTGTTTTAATTTAATT